AAGATGACATCATTGTATTCTACAAACAAAATCAAGCACCATCAAAACATCATTTTAATACAACTTCTAGGACAATTTAAAATCATACATGACAAAAAAAAAACATGCTAGGTTTTATATTTTTTAAAGATTTAGCTTTTTTATATTAATTTAAATTTAGATATATAAGGAGTCCTTATTTATTATTATAGAAAACAGTTTTGACATTTTTTGAAAAGAAATAAATATTTATATATTAAAAATTAAAATTTATACACATAAATATCCTTGTTTATTATTTTACTGTAGATCCAAAAAATGTTATGATCAGGGACTATTTATGTGGAAGTGTAAAAAAAGTTAAAAAAAAAAAACTCAAATTAGAAAAAATAAAAGAGATCTGCATGTTTATTGTGTGTTTTCTTGACATAAATGTAAAAAAATAAAAGAAAACAAAAACAGGATGGACATGAATTAATAGATTATGTAACGTAATAAACAAATAGAAAGATTAAAAGTAGTAAATAGATTATGTTTTGGCTTAGTCAAAACTGCGACTATTGGAACAATATTTTCAAATATGCTCAACAATAATTCAAAAGAAGATGCCGTATTCCTTAATATTTGATTGGTTATAAAATTTCTATAAATGCATGCATATTAATTTTACTGCCATATCTTCTTTTAGAATAACTAAATATGATTTGATACCAAATAATCGATATGAGAGGAGGGACATGTGCATCTCTCTATGTCACTGGGATGTAAAAAAAATTGTGAAATTACGTGGAAATCATTATTCTCTTATATTAAAACAAAGTCATGTAATATGCATCTATCCTAGGTAATCTTTGGTACATACAAAATAAATAAAAAATAAAAAAATGTGCAAACTGAACCATTCAGGATCATGTAGAAAGGGAAATGGAATTTGAATGTATTCATCAGAGATTAATTGCATACAAAATCAGAGATTAATTGCATACAAAATTTGTTCCACTCTACAAAATTCTTGAGATCTCAGCGTCGTTTGGTGACTTTATATAATTTATAATTTTATTTTTTTATCGTCAATTTTAATTTTATAATTATTATATAATTTATAATTTTAATTCTTTAAATTTAATGATTATTTAATATATTTAAATTTTATCTTTTTAATTTTTTCATTTTTTTTATCTTTTATATTTATTTATTATTTATTAATAATATATTATTTAACCTCAAAAATCAAGATAAAAAAACATTTGTAAAAAAACTATCATAAATAATATAAATATTTTTATTATCCATTAATTATTAATTATTATATAAAATAAATAAATATAATAAATTATAAAAACATTATATTTTATTATCATGTAAAATCAAATTATCTCTTTTTTATATTATAAATTTATGTTTCAATTATATAACATATAAAATGTAGTTTTAATTATATTACTCAAACAAATACAAATTATCTTATTTATATTAAAAACAATACCAAAAACTATATAAAAAATATAATTAAAATATAATTTAATTATACATAATTATTTATAATAAATATATTTTTTATTACATTAATTATTTATTTATAATATTTTACAATGTAAAATTCATGTAAACAATTAAACTCTTATAATTATAATTATTAAAATTTTAAGTTTGAAATTATGAATAATTTTTTTTTGAATTTTACTTTAATTAACTGTGTCTTTTAAATAAAGTGAAATTAGTTTTATTATTTATTTGTATTAATATTCTTAATTTCTTTCATATTCAAATAATTGTTTGGAGAATAATTTGTAATAAGGAACAATTTTGCAGGACACATTTTGCAGGAATAAGTGAAAAGTTTTAGTATTTTTAATTTTAGTTAAAATTCGACAAGATTCAAACAATTTTATTAATTAAGTTGTGGAAATTTTAAATAAAAAATTATAATTAAAAATAAGTACACTATTATTAAAAAATATATTTATTTAATTTTAAAATATAAAAAAAGTAACATAATCATATAATTTATATTATAAAATTAAAATATTTAAATTTTCACCGGTTATATATATATATATATATATATATATATATATATATAATATTAGAAGATTATTATAAAAAAATTTATATATGTTATTTAATTTTAGAAATAATAGTATAAGAGTAACTGATTTATTTATTGTATTTAATTTTAATTTTATTTATTATTTATTATTTATTTATTTTATATTAAAATAATTTTCAATTTTAATTTATATTCATTCTTATTAAATTATATAACTAATATTTTAGTTATTTTTTATTTATTTTATTTTTTATTAGTCAAATTAATATTATTTATTATCATAATTTTACTCATTTTTTTTCATTATCTTAATCTAAACCATTTGATTCTATTCTTCCATCCAAATAGAAGCTAGTTGTGAAAGTCCTCACTTGGCCCAGTGAGCTCATCAAGATACATAAATTGGAGATTCTAAATTTGGAAAAAGAAAATAAATGAATCTAAAAAGAGTTTTAAAGGTTAAAGTTATAGTATAACTTATAAAATAATATAAAAAGTTATCCCTATGTATAACAAAGAATTTATTAATAGGTTATTTGTGTTATAATTAATATGTAAATTAAATCCTATGATCTATAGAAATAAAAATTGAAAAATTAAACAAAATATAAAAGTAAGATTTTAGGGTTGAAGTTAATATAATAGTTTTGTATATGATTATTTGTAGTCCCATTTGTAAATGTTTTTTTAATAATATAATTATTTCCATAAAAATATATATTAAAACCTATATAGTTCTTCTGTGATTACCAACTCAATTAAGTGTGACAAAACTTGTTTTTAAACGTGATACATGCAAAAGTTACGTTAAAATACTTGTGATTAAATAATAAGTGAGTATAAACAACAATTTATAAATAAAAAAACTCACAAAATTAATATTTGTACATAAAAAATATTTAAAATTTAATATTTTTTATAAAAATATTTTATATTCTCTTATATAATTAATTTATAATTTAATTCCTCAATCCTCTCAAAAATATTCATCAATTTGACACTATTTAATTAATGAGTCTTTATACATTAATTAGGTAATACATTAAAACATTTAATTAAAAATAATTGACACTTAAACGTCTTATTAATTTTTATCTATTTATATTCTGATCATATTGTTATAATCTTGATGTAAAACGACTACATTTTATTTTAGCAATTTCACAAACTTAAGTTTGGGAAAATCTTTGCAAGTCAATACCTTTGTTCAGCATGTGATAAAACCTAGCCACGATGATTTCAACAGTTTATGTTCACATTAGCCTTATTTGGTTGTATTTTTATTGTTCTATTTTTAGGAAGAATATTTTGGTGCCCACGTAAAGCCCAATAAAAGGTATCCTGGACCATCATGTCTCCATGAATCCTAATGAAATTATCAACAATCGATCGAACGGAAATTGTCAAAATTGAGCAAAAGCACGAGATGGAAATGCAAATTTTCCTAAAGAAGAATGAAGAAATAGAAAGATAATTACATCTTTTGACCAGGTCCCCCCAAAGTACCACACCTCATCCAGAAATCAATCTCAGTCATGGTGTCAGATACTCATTACAAGGTGGAATCCAATCATAAAGGTTCTCATGGAAGACCAAGTTGCATGACCCAGACATGTGTGTTTTATAGAACATTTCTCATGCCTTTAAAGGGAGCATTATTCAAATGGTTCTATGATTTACCTGTGGGATCAATAAAATTATTTGAAACCTCAACACAAAATTTTAGAGTCAACTTTGTAGCCACAAGAACTCATCAACCAACCTTTCTCACAGGGTAAGTGAAGAGAAGGCTAAGTCTTGAGAAATTTTATAAAAGGGTTTATTGAAGTCAGTCCCACTGTCCACCATCTATCCCTAGACTTGATCATCTTTTCTTTGATTTTCTTACTAAGACGATAGATTGTTTATATATTAATTATCTAGAATCCTTATAAGAACTTAGCTCCTGAGCTTCCAAATTTCCAAATTCATATAATTGGAAGAGAATATTGAGATGAAAAAAAAAAAAAAAAAAGTTATAGGACAAAGAATGTTCTCCTAAGATGTACAACTCAGACAAACAGTTGAAACAAGAGGAGAGAGGTTCACTCCTCTAAATTCAAGTAGTGAGTCCATTTTGCGCATGATACCAAAATTTTGGCCATACCATTGAAAATCTTATTTGAGCAGTACCCTTGACAGGTTCATCTAAAATTACAAAGACAAGAAATAAAAGCAGGAAGGGTTTCATGAGACCGTTTTTGCTTGCTCACATTCAAAGCGCATCACACGAAGATGTTAAAGGATGAGAGAATCTATAAAGAAAACACTTTCACGCTAAGTCAGGAAAGACAAAATATATTTAGTAAATAACTATCTTAATTATGTGCAAAAAATCATTTACCTTGAGTGGTATAATTTGAGGCTCCCAAATATGGGACTAGGATGAGAACTATCGATACAATGCAGTGATATGATGAATATTTTTATAAAATTAAATTATATATTTTATAAATTCTAATATTTTCTATTATTCTTTTTATTATTATTTTTATTTAATCACATTTTTACCTTTCTATCTCTTCATTACTACAGTAAAAGTGTGTTTTCAATCTTTTACACAAAAACTAGTTCTGTTAATAATGTTTTAAACATAATTGTGCTAAACATAAACAAAAATACGATAGGAAAAGGAAGATATAGAACCGAAATTTATAGAGTGAAAATATTTTCTTTCTCAAATTTATAGATACCCATTTTTCTCCATCTGCAAAGGAATAAAAGGGTGTTTATTTAATAATCAGAAATGAAGTAAAGTATGGTTTTATTTGAATATGACTTTGGATCTTACAGGTGATGTTTATTATAATAAGAGGTGTAATTAAGAACGTTCCCTGCCTTAAGCACACAGAAAAGGCAAGGGTTACACATTATTGCATGCATTTACATATACATCACACTTTACTCCAGGGTGTTAACCTCTTTCAGATCTCTATGTTATCTGCAAAAAACACATGATTTAAACTATAAAAAAATGAATAAACATAGTTCTGATAACAAGAATAGGAATAAGGTAATGAGTGTGATTTACCTTAACATTCCGATCCGATTCCTTGGATAACATAATCTTAGGTAGCATTTTCTTGCGCTTAGGAATTGGAACACCATTAAAAATCTTTAAAGCATCAGGATTTTTAGAAAGGTACATATATGCAGTAGACACGGAATCCTCTTCAACACCAATTTCCTCCAAGTGTTCCCATAACTCCTTGATACCAACTTCCTTTATCTCTTCTTTCACCTCTTTTAAACAAAATGAAATTGAGAATCACATATTCTGAATCAAAATCACAATAATAACAAATAAGAAACAAAATGGAATCGCATGTACCTCGGACTGGAGAAGCAGCCATTAAGAAGACAAAGATGGAGTACCGATGAAACAAGGAACAACAAAGGATTAAAGTTAAGAAAAACGACATTTCAACTTTCAAGCAAGTGGCATCTATGACTAACGACATTTCTAGTACATTATGTTACCTCCGCTCTTAATTACAGATTTCTCGATATTCTGATCACCCTCACTATTATTGACGAACGAGTTTACAGTTCCTCCTATGGAAGGGACAGAGGCACGATGTGGGTTTTGGATGCTTGCCCCACTTTCAATCCTGGAGTCGGTGATACTTTGTTTCCCTCTCCCCAGGTTGTTGAATGAACTCAGAGTGCCGTCAACGGCAACGGTATTCATCTTGCCCTTGGAATACATGTTGCCCTAACTATATACCCTTATGTCTGAGTGAGTGATATAGCTTTGCTGATACGTCCCTGAATCCGAGCTTCCATATTTATAGATGCAGATAAGACAATGGAATCATGCATGCTTACTCTTTGCTTGGACATGAAGCTAGCTATTTACAGATGAGTGATGATATAGATGTAATGAAAGTAAAAAATCATTCATTTTTTTTTTCTGCTTTATCTCTCTCCTTCTTCTTTTTCTTTTGTTTCCTCAATGCCAAAAAATTATTAAGATACCGGCACATTTATTGTGCGAGAGAACATTATTGACACAGTTCTTTTAGCTTCCTCAACCACTGACTGTGAATATTGTAACAATACTTTCAAATATGCTCAACAATAATTCAAAACAAGATGCCTTATTCCGTAATATCTCATTGGTATTTCTATGGCTCAATGGGAACTTACCGAAGATTAGTTGAAACTTGAAAGTTAAATTACTAAAATTGAAACCGCACTCAAAGGGCATTTCCAATAAGAATTGTATTATAATAGATGTATCTCCAATTATAGCCTTATGGGATGTAAAATATACTTTTTTTTTCACCATCCCACGTATAAATGGATGCATTTTGATTAGATCATATTTTATGCTTACAATTCTGTCTTATATATTTTTTTCATTTCATCAAAAATCAATTTTATAGTATAGACACTTATAACCTCCCTTTAAATGATAATTATTTTTTTTGGTATTATAACATTTATCATAATGATATTATCCATAGATCAGATAATTTTGTATTTTGTGTGTAGTTAAGGTAGAAGTTTTGTATAAATATATCTTTGATTTAAGTTTTTTTTCTTTCTAAGAGTTAAAATAAAATAACTCAATTGAAGCCTAATGATCATACATATATTATATAAAAGTTTTATAAATGCTTGCATATTAATTTTACTACCATATATTTTTTTAGAATAACTAAATATGTTTTGATACCAAATAATTGATATGTTTTATAGGAAATAAAATAATAAATTATGTTTTACTATATAATTATTATTATTTAATGATGTATAATTAATTTATTTCTTGGTATAATTAATTATGCTTCAATTATGTAATATTTAAAATATAAATTAATTATGTTTTAACTAGTTAAAATTATAATTTTATCCTTGAAAGAACTCAGAATCCGAACTTCCAAATTCATAACAATTGGAAGAGAATACTGAGATGAGAAAAAAAAAGTTACAGGAGAAAGAATGTTCTTTCAACTAGTGTAACTAAGACAAATAGTTCGAAGAAGAGGAGAGAAGTTCAATCCTCTAAATGTAAGTATTGACACCATTTTGCAAGAAGAATACAACTTTGAATTAGTAAAATGACCAGAACCATCAGTCACACCCGTCAATACAGACTGGATAGGATGATGCCACGTGCATGACATCAAAATTTTGACATCCTGAAAATTGCAAGAAACTTAAAAGAAATGGTTGAAGATCTTATTTTAGCATGTACCCTTAACAGCTTCATCCAAAATTACAAAAACAAGGAACATAAGCAGGAAGACTTTCACAATTATTGAGGCCGAGACCATTCTTGCTTTGGAGGTCGGGACCAAGGACGAGGTCCTCCCGAATTGGATTCTCAACAAGTTGCTCACACTCAAAGCACATCACACAAAGATGTTAAAAATATAATATACACAATCGTAGGAGGAGGTAGCACGAGTTCATCTCGAAAAAGACATGAGAACAATAAACAAACGTTAATATTGTCCCATAATTTAAACTAAGGACAATGCCTTCAATCACTTTCACTGATGGTGATTTTAACTCCCATGATCCCAACCAGGACGACCCTATAGTAATCACAATTTATATTGCCAATTGGAAGATTAAAAAGACTCTAGTAGACCATAAGAGCTCGACTGATATACTTTATTGGTTCACCTTTTTAACGATTATTCAACCATATCCGATCCTTTAGTCGGGTTCGAACGAGTTCATACTCATGACTATATTAACCTAGTTTACTACTTTTGGATTTAGTAAAAGACTCTAATGAAAGAGATCTTAGTGAGTAATTTGAGAAGATGCAGACAAAAATAAGTTAAGACCCATTTTTTAACCTCAATGTTATAAGTGAGAAAAAAACCCCTTTGCGGTTCAATCAATGTCCCACATCATATCAAAACACTCCTCATTGAAGCCCATGATGAACTCTCAAACGCACATGAGAACATGAAAAGACTTTCCAAAATGACAACAAAACCTTAGTTTAGCAATGACGAGACTTAAGAGCGCCACCAAATTCAAATTTGATACTAAGCTCATTCACAAAGGACTAGTCTACTCGTCCTATTTCTGAATCAATTATTTAATTAATGAGTTTTTATAACATTGATTAAGCGGTTATCCATTAAAAGTATTTAATTGAGAATAACTGGCATTTAAATGCTTTATTAATTTCAATCTATTTATATTCAAATAAGATTATTATAAATAAAATGCAACAATCTTTATGTAAAACGACTACACTTTATTTTAGTCCTTTCATTGAGTTAAGCTTCGGAAAATCTTTCCAAATCAACACATCCTTTTTCCAGCCCAGGATTAAGCTCGTTAATTTTAGCATTTTAGAGCTCGGACTAAGATAGCTGACGATCAGATTAGCCTTGTTCTTTTCTATTTAGGGTTATTTGGTTATATTTCTATTGTTCTATTTTCAGCAAGAACACTATGGAACCATTTGGGAATCGAAAACACAAACAAAATCAATAGTTTCATATATATAATACAGCACAGGTAACCTCTGCTTCCTTGGATAGTTAGTTGATAAAGTCATGACTACTCAATAATCTTCTTGAATGATAAATATTTGGGGCCAGATGAAAATAAGAGGAAGGCAAGAAGCAGAGCAATAAGCACTGAACCTAACTCACTATATCTGCTGTCAATTTGTCCAAAATGTTCAGCCCATTCTGAGAAGCAATTACCACTGTGCATCTGCATTACATATCATAATAGAAATAAATGAGTTGATATTGTCCAGCAAACCACTTTCCACTGTTGTCTAGGAAGAATATTAACAGGACCAATGCAATAACATGTACATAATTTGGGGAAAGTGTGATGTTTTAAAGTGACTAAGATGTTGACCATGATTGCATTTTACTCCTCGGACTAAATAAACTGGTGCACATAAAGCAAAAACTACAGCTCTAAAATGAAAGCTATTAAAAACTGATACCCTCTGCACCACTTTTTTTTAGAGGAAACAACAAATGAGTTTGTAACACTATTTGAAGCATATGTCAAGCACTTCTTTTTCATTGAATACTAACAGACTGAGAAAGAGATATGAAATTGTCAGAGTGAATCATTTGATGTTTTATATATTCTATACCTTATGTTAAAGTTCAATCAACGTGATTCTCAATTACTTATTTAGAAGAGTATAAAGGTTAAGAGAGAAAACTAACGGAATTTTAGACACAACACCATGGTCCACAACACCATCAACTTTACCAAGGCTCTTTGCTACTTCAGCTGCAAGTAATACTTAGTCAGTGAAACGGACCAGCACATGTACTGAGGTTTATCAATTGAAACGGGCATCACACTTGCAAAACTTACCAAGGTTTTCTATTGGAGATGTAAAGATAACATCAAGAATATTGTGCCCTTCCGTGGTGACTACTGGAAAGTCACCTCCTAACGGACCTGCTTGCCCAATTGATGGTCTTCTCCAGACCTTCACTTATAAAGCCGTGATATATATAATCAAAATATTAAATTTCTTGATAAAATAATTAAGAGAATGAAGGGAAATATGAGAAGGAGCATAAAAAAACCTCCTTTTATACAGGGGGTACAAAACTCAGAAGAGTTTCACAACTCCTAATAAAATACAGGAAATAAACGAGGAGTACACAACTCAAAAGAGTTTCACAATCCTTTATAAGTCCACAGGATAAACCAACCTAGATAAGCCATGTGTGGCACCCTAACAGAAGTCTTAAAAGATGGGAAGGAAGAAACATCTGATCAAAAACTGTAGCATTACAATGCACTTTTTTGCAATTCAGCAATCTTGTTATGTCATTGCTTTACCTTAGGACATGGTTTTTAGGTCCTTCCTGCTGTTATACTAGTACATTTTTTTACTCCAGTTTCTAATTCAAAACCCTGCTATGCAAAACTTTTCAATATCCAAGTCCTGGAATGTTTAGTTTTTTCAAAAAGAGTAAAGGCTTGTGTTTGGACTGTGACACATTTTAGAATTAATATAAATGATCTATTACAGAATTGTGGTCTGACAAGACTATTCACGTTGATGTCTGTATCATCTGTTTTCTTCAGAGACAAATAATCATCCTTTAACATCGTGTTGTCAAGTTTCATTAGAAACTTCGTAATTGGGTTTTCTAAACAATTTTTAGGATAATCAATTTATTTCAACTCCTTTTATTCATTTCTGTCTATTCACTCGCGAGGAAAAGGATTATGCATATGTTGCTAACTGCTATGGGGTAACACTTTGTCTTTGGGGATAAAAAGCAATTATCTAGTCTTGAGAAACATTATATTGAAAAAAATTGACTGCGTAGTAAACAAGGGAAGTATTTATTGATCATGTGAACCAAATAGGGAGTTCCCAATAACCACCGTTGTATTAAGTTAATACTTTGATCCTCCACAAAGCAGAGTAATAAATCTTGATTTAATTTTGATCTACTGCTTGTAAAACTTTATTACACTATCATCCTATCATGTAACAAAATAAAACAATGAATAAATGTTGTTGTTGTAGATCGTTACAAAATCCTAAATCATTTAATAAAGCAGCCAATACCCAGTTACAGTGTCTATACACATCAACAAAGCAAACCGTGTCAAAATACCATGAATCTTTAAAACAAATATGACGATCATTATGTCAGCATCACTTTTTAAGTTGGTAGGCAAGCAAACTGATAAAACATTCTTTATCACATGCATTTGTAAAAACTCAGGGAAAGAGTAAAATGTAGTGTAAACCTCAGCATCACCCAAAAACATATCATCAATCTCTTCAGCAGTTGCCATCCAGTTGAGCTGCAAGGAAAATTGAGTATTAAGGATAAACATACACAAGAAAAGAATAAATAAACTAATATTTTGCAAGCTGCTTACAGACTGAATTAAAACTGGAATAGAACCTTCCAGACCACCTTTGTACTGGTTTTCTTCGATAATGAACACAAGTTTATTGGAGGCATTTATTATAGACTGCAAACAAAAAAATAAGGAGAAATCAATTACTAACACAAGATAATTGATCTTCACAAATAAATGCAGAGAAAAATGGTAGAGCAACTCACCTTCTCCTGGATTATGGATTCCCCACCTTGCAATTTCCGGCGCCCAATGATAGCAACAAGTGTTCCTTCTTCTATAACATCAGCATCATCAAATGCAAAATCAATCTACAACAGAGTAATTGCCAATGAATCTACACTAAGAGTAATTTCAGTTTAATACATAATAAAATCAAAGAAGCAATGAAGTTCACATACCAAGACAGTCCAGCATTACTTTTTTTTTCTCGTTTCATTTAATTTAGTTGTATCAAAAGATTTCTTCAAATTCAAAGTTATGCATATATGATAGACCTTTTTCCCTTTTTTTTTTTTGGAAAATTTTCACCAGGGATTGCATACAAGGATTCATGTTCTGCTAAAATTTATGACATCCTCCAAGATTCCTCTAAATCAAGAAACACTCAACATTAAAAGAAAATGCAGAAGATGATTAATTTAGTTCACACTTGAGAACTTTCTTGGTAGGTATCCAATGGAATCCCAGCCTTGGCTGCCTCACTTGCACTTGCAACAGACCTGCATAAACCAATGGATCAATGTCAAGTGGTTTCGTGGAATTTACATCTTGACACACAAATTGGAAGTAATAGGTCTTAACAGAATAGCTATGTTCAATACTTGCATTGAATAGAAAAGTGTCCATACGTCAAGGAAGTAGTCAGAAAGTCAGAAAGAATAGGTAAACTTCAAATTTAACATAGCATCAGTTTTTGAAAAGAAAAATAAAACATAACGTAGTACTTTTAACTGAAAGTGAAGAAGACATGTAAGGAGGAAGAGCTTACATGGGAATGCCAACTATATCCTTCAAATTACCAGTACGAAGCTGGCGACCCAAATGTTGAATGGCCATACCAGAAGCATGACCAGACCCCAATCCTACAACCATGCCACTTTTCACGTATGTATCCACCTACCAAACAGCAAGACATGTCTACAAAATTAATTCATCTCCTAAACTATCAAGCACAAGAAAGAGGGTATATGACACTTACCAAATACAAATTTTTGACAAATATACCGCTGTTTGTGAAAATAAAAAAATAAAAAAAAATCTTAAAAAGGCATAATAACTATCGATTGAAGCGAACTTATTTTCCTTACATACATGCAAAAACCGAATAGACTTGAATGAAACTTGATGAAAACACAGTGCAGACAATGGGGACCATTAAGTACGTTTCATTTCACCGTTTTGTGAACTAATTCACAGAAAATAACAAAAAGAGTGTTAGGAACATTATCAAAATGCAATTTTGACAAGTGTTTAAAAAATCTACCAAAAAGAGCATTGTAGTTGTTGAATTAGCATGACAAGCCAGATATTGATCACAATTGGAAAGATGTAATAGAATGAACAAATTTTGAAAATTGAAGACTATGGTAACCATGAATTCATAGTTCATACAGTGTATTGCGCGGCACGAAGGAGAGCAGAACTGTCATCGAGACAGGAGCGAGTGACCATCGTCAGAAAATTGGGTCTGCATCTTCTTCTGCCTAACAGAGGTGTGGGTGAATGCAGAAGAAGCCTTGTGGAAAAGGATGAAGATGAAGCTACTGAAGCCATTGCTCTTCAGTTCTCACTCTCTGCAATTTCATCAAAGTTTTTGGTAGTGATAACGGATAAGGGATTATGGCCACTCTCACTCTACTGATAACTGATGTGAGTGATAACAGCGGAGCAATTTCACACATGATTTATATTTTCTCCGTTTAACTTCGTAGCCAATTAATTTCAATTACTTATAAAATCTATCTGAAATTTCTTCACGTGGTGTTTCAAAACAAATTTATCTAGTCAATTTGATATTTATCATCAACCTTTTCTTCTAATAGCTCTATTTCTATTTATTTTATTATTATTATTATTATTATTATTATTATTATTATACCTTAATAGATTTGATATTCTGTCGTTTTTTTTATTATTATTATACCTTCTCCTTTAATAATAAACTAATCATAATATTAATAATTTACCCGAATTAAATAAAAAGACAGTTGTTAAAATATATTCTATATAAAATTTTTAAAAAAAGATACATTTTAATAATTAAATTATTTGAGAAGAAATTAACCATTTTGTCGATCAATAAATAATTTGTATCAAACATATGGTTATAAAAAAATGGCTCGAGGGAATTTAGACCACATTCACACAATGACATCAATCAAGTCACCTTTTTACAGTTATATTACTTCTTAGTAATAATGAAAGAAAAATATTAATTAGTAATCATGAAATAAACATAAATTATAAATAAACAATATATATATATATATATATATATATAAATATAAATATATATATATATATATATATATATACTTTTTTTTATTCCATTAAGAGAAGGCCACGAAGCTATTCTAATATACAAAAATAGACACACCCTAGTTTATAAAATCAGGTAATGTAAGAGGTGGACATTCTAACTGGATTTTGTGTTCAATTCACACAAATTAGACAAAAACATTGCACAGCATTATTTAATGGTTTGTTTTCAGGCCATTGTGAGATTTCTACTCAGAGAAAAAGTCTAACAAAAAAATGAAGATGAACATACAGTAGTGTGGTTAGAAATTTTTCATAATGTTTCATCATATAGTACTGTGTCTAGATTCAAACCTCCACACAGCTTTGTTGCTATTATTTACATAATCAATCCTAAGTGGACAAAATATTAGAGTTATGATGAACTTGGTTAAATCTCTATATTACATGGAACAAGAAGGAGATGAAGCTAAACAATGTTGACGAAAACAAAACCAAAAATAGTAGGATTGTACACTTGAAGCTCAACATCATTGATGAAAAGCATTTATTAGAATTAAAACAAGATTAGGACAAAACAGTATTGTTCATAACAATAGAAAAGGGGTAATAATCATAAAACTACAACAGCATTGATGCCAACAGTGGCCACTGCATTAAGCATCTCTAATAACCTTGCTGTAGACGAAAACAATTTTACTATTTAAAGGAAGCCTTGCTTGAAATGTTGTTTGAAAGCCAGTCTAGTCCTTCGTATAAACCTTCACCAGATGTAGCACATGTACTTTGGATATACCTGGGGGAAACATGCATGCAAATATTTCAACGATGCTTAAACTTGTGTGAGAACCAAACAGGATTAAGCTTATGTTGTTGAGTTTGGGTTCTTCCAAACTCAATTTGAAGAATAAACTTATCTCAGTTTCATGTCATATTTGGTTACGTTGAAAAGTATGTTTATATATTAAATTTTTGTCTGAAACAAAATTTTTAGATATAAGAGTTAAGTTGTTTTTACAAACTTATTTTTAATATAAACTTTGATCAGCAAATTTTAATCAAAATATGTACTAAAATTGTCATTGTTTGAGGACTTAATTTACCAGTGGCGCTGGCGCAGAGAGTTTAGACCAAGTCTATCAGTGATTTCAGCAGCGTTCATGGCATTAGGAAGATCTTGCTTGTTTGCAAAAACAAGCAACACAGCATCTCTTAATTCATCCTAGTCCATGGAAAAAAATTAAATTAATTACAAGGAAGTTTTCAAAGATACATATGAATATATATATGCACATACCTCATTCAGCATCCTGTGTAACTCATCTCTAGCCTCAACAACACGATCACGATCATTGCTGTCTACCACAAAAATAAGCCCTTGTGTGTTTTGGAAGTAGTGTCTCCACAATGGTCGAATCTGAAACAACCCATGCTACTAAATTATTCACATTAAGGTGGCAGTAAATGCATAATTTTCGTACTTTTTGTTTCTCACAATATTTCATACAACTGCTCCAACACTAGTTGGTTTCTTGTACAGGAATTGGATTATAATACAGATTCTAGAACTTGTACTGTTGTGCACCACTTTGATGGTAAGAATTGCAGCATTTTGGCTATAACACTTTCATGATATTTTACAACAAGATATAACAGCGGTTATACCAAAACCGATATAATATAAAGCACAGTGGTATTTTAAAAAATATGAAAGGAGATACTATATTGGTTTCTCCCTTAAACCAATGTAGTATCTCTTCTTTGAAAAATTTTAACCTTTTCCCTACTCACTCTATTTCCATTAACGCTGAACTCACTGCAACATAACTTGCCAACAATTCGTTGCACTATCGTTTCGCCACCGTTTGACCACTGATTGCCACTGTATCACCACCGTTTTTTTTTTTTCATTTACTGTAGTTAAATACCCACCACTGTGCCATGCCCAGAACCATTTGAGAGAATCGTTCACCATCTGCGTTGCCACCACTGTCACATTTGTTGAGTCACTGTGTCACTCATCACCATGCCATGAAACTACCACCCATCACCGTGTTTGCCACCCTGTTTACGTCATTATGTGTTTGTCACCCTTTGTCCAAAAGGTCTTTGCATCGGCGCCCATCACTGTAGTTGAGGGACTGTACACACTGTTTTTCATCTCTATTATTGATAATGTGATAAGTGTTTGTTGAATTGCAATTTTAGATTTTGCGTAGAATTAGAGATTAGGGATTTAATTTAGATATGGAGATTTAATATGCAAATAGGAAATAAGTAAACAATGGGGATTAGAGATTAAGGATTTAATTTAGAATTAGGGATTATGGAAAGCGTTGAACAAACTTTTTATCACTGTGATGAAGACAACCTCAACAAGTTTCAGTTCTTTTCATGAGATTATAATATATCCACAGCTTAGTTGAGAAGTGAGAACAATGTCAAATTTCACTAGCACTCAAAATCAGAGAAAAATCAAAGGGGAGAAAATCAGTGAGTGAGTGATTCTATTCTACCAATGATCACCTTATCCTGACCACCAACATCCCACACAGTGAAGCTTATGTTCTTATACTCCACAGTCTCCACGTTAAATCCTGCATAGAGAATCATGATATTTAACATGATGCAGAAGAGAAATAATGTTGTACATAAAGTTCTTCAATAGTTTAAACTTCTTTTGTGAGTATTTCCATGGATCTCATAAGATAGAGAGGAAACCATACCAATTGTAGGAATTGTGGTCACAATCTCCCCTAACTTCAGTTTATACAATATTGTGGTTTTACCAGCGGCATCAAGACCAACCATAAGAATTCGCATCTCCTTCTTAGCGCATAGACGAGAGAAAATCTTGCCAAAAGATAAACCCATTGTCTGCCATTACAATAACTATTAAAATCAAAATAGTGAAATAATTTTTATTTAACTTCAAATTTTGTGAACATGATTTTGCTAGGCAAGAAATAACATTCTAAATTCAAAACAAAGTTATCTACTATATTATGCTTCTTATGAATTCTTACGACCTATTTTCTATTAGGTGTCATTACAATGTCACGTTTTTCCTACGAATTGTCTTATTGTAAGTTCTACTACCAAAATTTACACCAACGCAAGCAAGGAAAGAGAAGTTATTGCATACTTTTTCGTCAATTTTTATGCTACATGTAATCAAATTTTATTGTTTTTTCTTCTATCCTAAAACATTCAAGTATGTGTCATATAGAAAAACTGGTATCAGTAATGATGTAGTGATCCCAAATTATATAACAAATTTTCCTTCCGGGAAGAGTTGTTTATCAATTTCAATCTGGGTGATTATGGGAAAAAAAATCCATGATTTACAATGCTTGAAGTTTTACGTAGGGAGAAATTGCAGATGCTAATTTTAAGTTAAGAAAATTAAAAAACATAAAATGTAACATAAAACATGAATATATAACATGAATTGTTCCTAGGTTTTGCAGAAAGTAACATGAATTGTACGATCGGAATATATATGTCGGAAACCCGATTCAAAAAACCAGATAATAAGTGGTTCGATTCCATTCAATGCAAACAAGAAATTCAATCAAGTCACAAGCAGGGAACAGAAACATAAAAATAAAAGAGAAATGTATTTCACATAAAACAAATTTTGTACACAGATTTGAATTTAATCCGTTAGAAACAATAAAAGGGAAAAAAATGTATGAAAGGATTGAATCGATGTTTGAAAAAGAGACAAACTTACGTGATGAGAAAGAACAAGAGAGAGATAGCGAAGTGGAGAGAGATGTAGATTCAGAGGAACAATAACTATTGCTCACACTCTCTGTCTGTATAAGGTTACGCCAAAATCGGAAATCAATGTGAGAATAGTGAATTTTTTGGATTTGACCCACTATTTCGGTGTTGGGCAAAACTATGCCTACCAAACTCAAATTAGATGAAATCATCCCATATGAAAAATAAGCATAAATTTTTTCTGATTTAAATCAATTTATCTAATTTACTTAATTTAACTCAAATTCAATAAGTTTTTTCTTTAACATTCAAATTAATTAGTGTTAAAGTTACAAATATCAAGCTTTAGAACCAAAAAACAGGTGTTACTATTTAAAGAACTAAAACGTGGCAAAGAGTGGAATTTCCGATATGACATCAAACCCCTACATACTTGTTGCGTATTAACGTTATTGATGTGAGGTTCTGGTAGCATAAAAGCTTTACCAAGTTTAAGGATGCAGAACGACACAGCATGTATATTTGGCGAAGAGGAAGCATGGATAATACCATAATGCTCTGAAAAACCCGAACCAAGCTTGCTTTTGAAGAAATAACAACAATATAACGTAATGCTCAACTTCCATCAAACATTTTAGCCAAAATATGCTCTACTTTTAGTAACATTATTAAACATTCAAAATATAACTTAGATAATAATAATAATAATAATAATAATAATTTGATAATCACTTAAAAATGAAATTTAACTATTCAATTATCTTTTATTTTATTTTTACATTATCCAAAAGAAAAGCCTACCAAAACTTACATAAAAATACGTTAATAATAAAAAGACTAACTTAAATTCATTTTCTCAATATTTAATAGCTCAATAAAAATTATTCAATTTCCTATAATAACAAACTACCTCTTATGTCCAATCCAGCTGGTACAAATTGTTCATTTTGCAAACAAAAAACGAATTATAATGTCAACCTGAAGTTGACAGGATTATAATGTCAAGGGAAGACATAAAATCCGTTCCATTAAGAATCCTACATTATCTTCTAAAGTGCCCTGGTATTTTGGGCTGTTACCATTTAAAGCCATTGGAATGAAGAATAAAGTGAAAGACAATAATTCTCCATATTCCAACCTACCCCAATACTCAACAAAATAACAAGAATTTCCGTATAACACCTTTAAAGAAGTAAAACTTCAATAAAAATGTAGAAAAGGAGCCACAAGTGTAGACTGATATCAGGCTTTGTCATATTGCATCATACAGTGCTTGAGGTTGAAGGTATCCATCAATATGTTGTCCCTCAACACAAAATAGACATGGTCTTGCAGTAAAGTTTCTCCTCCTATGTAAAAGACCTCAGACTTGATTGAACCGATAATCTCTCTGCCAAAAGGGGTTAAAATGAGAAATTAAACAAGGCTTATCTTAATAAGAGTGAAGCCTGAAGTTCATTAGAATGGACAGTTAAGCTACTAAAAGATCAGGTTCATATGGAGTCAAGATCATTACAAAGGCACTTTTTTCATAATAGCACATGCAAGTTGACAGAACTTAAAACAAGATAATGCATGTTAAAGCCAATATCAGCTAAGGTTTTGACACAGAATTTTCAAATTCAATGAACATTCACAGCACAATCATCACACAGGGACTGGTGCCCGGTTGGTATTTTAGGAAGACAGCTAGGGATGATGTTACATACAAAATAATGACTAAAGCTAAATGCTTGCTTAAAATCAAGAACTTCCTCATCCAACAGAAAGTTGAAATCACATCGCGTGAACAATATACCAAATAAAGGGACGTGTGGCTCCTCACATCGCCTAAACATTCTCAAATAATAAAAAAGTATTGGTGCCGAATGAAATAAGCAAGAAGTGGCATACTTATCAGTTCATAAGTAACAATCATGGTTGTTCCATAAAGTGACATATTTAAAAATCTTGGACCAAACCCCCTGTAAAATCCCCACCATCCATCTTCCTTGAGGAGAATCTTTGCTGTCTTCAGTACTGATGGTCTTTCAGAACCATAGTTGTCCATCACCTTAGTGCAAATCAAAATTGACAAATCCAAATTAACCACATTACATTCTAAACCAAAAAGGAAAATAAAAACTGCTCCATAAAAGAAACACTAATTGGTTCACTGGCAGATATATCAATCCCAATTTGAAATCCTAAAAATCTCTTTCTTCTTGAACAACAGCTAATCCTAAAAACAAGAGTCTCGCTTCCCATACCTGAAGACGTGTTTTCACAGTATCTATGGGAGTAGTGATAACAGAGGAACAAACACCAGCCACCATACCAGCACTAGCCTGAACGGTCACCATTTCCACATGTGAAGGTTTGTTACCCGTACCATCTTTGTAGCCCAAACTCCTAAAAGCCAACAATCATTCATAAATTAAAAATGAAAAAGAAAAAAAAAAAGAAACCTTTAGTCTTGAGGGTGCGTTCGGAAAGACCAACGTTTTGACCCATGAAAGTAAATTATAATCTATAACCACTTTTTACATCTTAACTTGCTTTGCATGGCTGGTGAACTCATTAAAATAGGATACAATTTATATACAGTTGTTTAAGCGTTTTTTTAATATTTAGAATTTAAGTTTTGTCTTAGTATCATGTTAACCACTAAACCTTTAATACAAGCATTTATTAGATAAAAATCCAATTGTAATTTGAGATCAGCACCAGAAACATATGTGAAGCATCTAAATTCTGTCCATTAAGACAAGCTTCAGGTATATGAAGCTTATGAACAAATTCCATACTATAATCTAAACATACCCTAAGAAGGTAATTTGTAAAAGAGCACAGAATGTACCTCCAAATTAGGTGTTGTGCGGCAGCATATGAACCCCACCAAAGCGCAGAAGCAGGGGACTGCGTAACCGCGGTTAATCCAAAACCCCTATACAAGCCACGAAACCCCTCCGCCTCCACAACTTTCCGAACAACATCAAACGGCCCTCTACAAAACGTTGTCCCCGGAAGACCCTGCACCATCAACCTCTGACAAACCTAACAAAAACAAAAAAAAGTACAAGTTAGTTCTAATAAAAGCGACATGTAAAATAAAAATTGCACCTAATTATATACTATCACGATCTTCATCGTAACCAAGTACCTACCACATCCAAGGGCACAAAGTAGATGCAGGAGACCAAGTTGGAGACCATGCCAGCGAGTGCGTTGGCAAGGCCAACGCGAGACGCTTCTGGAATGTGAGTGGCTTGCGTGTGTTTCAGGACGATGTCCTTGGAGACCTCGAGAGAGGTGAGCGCAAGAACTCTACCGGGGATTGAACCAATGGCGGAAGTGCCAAAGCCTCTGAAGATTCCCGGAACACCGTCGCTTCGCAGAATGCGGGCCAGCACCGACGTTCCTCGCAGGTTCGAGAGCCCCGACCCAGCCACCTGCATGCGTGTCTTTACCACGGCAGTTGGATGAAGCAGACCTGATTGAGCTGTGAAGAGAATGGCACCGATAACGTGGAACTTGGTTTTGTCCAACCTAATATCAAATTCACACACAACCAAAACTTGGTTCTTGAATCTTGATGAAGTCAATGGTTTGAAGTTTGAAGAGTAAGTAAGTAAGAAAGTATACCTGTCCCAGTTGATTTCTGTGTCGGCGAGTGATAACTGTGGAGTGGTGGTAGCATCAGCTTCCATGCTCATAATTAACTCACTTCCCTCACTCTTTAGCTCTTCCTTTATAAGTTTATATGAGTACCAACAATGTTTGTGTCTGTGTTTATGTTCTGTTTTCTGAAACATAAATGATTTTAGTTTGAGTGTGTTTGGTTTTGGGAAGACGTGTTTGAATGAAAGCTGGTGCAATGAACAAGGAGAGGTGACCGCTTGGAGAGAACGTTCCAGTGGTTTCAGGGGACGTGTTTTCTTCTTATTTTGTTATTTTATTTATTTTCTTCTTCACTTATTACTATTAGGCTGATTCATGCAGAATGTAACATTCTCTTTGTATTGATTTATCTAATATAAGAATTACTTTAATTTAGTTATTTTACGTAAAGAACAGTAAACACATTATTTTTTTATAATTAAAAGTAATTTAAATTTAAGTTTATTTAGATGTATTATTAACAATTTATTAAGACCATCATTAACACATGTTGAACTTATAATCTATTTTAATGGTGATATTATCTATATATTTGTCAACAGAACTTTAGTATTTTAGAAAAAAATTATCAATATTTTAAAAAATTTATATCGCAATATAAAATAGTTATATAAATATAAAAATTAATTTGTACATTTACAAATATTTAATCATGATTAATTTTAATCATAATATATTTATATATTTAAATATATTTATTTATTATAAAATAAGATTAGGGAGGAAGGATGATAAAATGGGACAGTTAAGTCTATTAGGGAAGTGTTATAATCATAATGAGTTATAAACTTTGATTTATCCCACCAAATAATGGATTAGGGATTAATCTATCATAATTTAAAAAAAAATTAATCAAAATTTTTAATAAACTTAATAATAAAATTATCATCTATTTGTTAATAATTTAGCGTATATATTTTGAATTAATAATATTTTTAGGAAATTATAATTTAAAATAACAATAAATATATAGATAACATTAAAATTTATAAAATTTATTTTTTTATATTAAAAACTAAAAATACTTATATGTTTTTTATTTGATAAAATTTTACATCATTCTCTTTTCAATAATTTTTACACATTTAATTCAAATCATAAAGATAAGAATAATTGGTATTTAAGATGAACGAGGAAGAGATGATGGACAACAAGAAAAAGGAAAGAGACTTGTGGTTGAATAAGAAAAATGTTTTTTAACAAGTAAGAGTGCGACTTTTTTAATTATTTTTTTACAATTTTTAACTTTATCTATTATCTTTGTAATTCACGATATTACAATAATAAATTTATTTTTTTATTAATTTGTTGGACTGATCTGTTTAATTCTTTAGGCTAAGATAAAGAGGTAATAAATTGAAAACACCAAGTCCTATCATATTAAAGTGAGCTCGCCCTACCATATTACAGTGAGGCGAAACCTAGAGAGTAGTATAGCTCAAGTGATAAAAAATGAGTTTACTCTTAAAAAATTATTATGATTCTTTTTTTAGAAAATTATGTAAAAATTTTGGGATGTCAAATTGTTTTTTATTTTTTAATATATATTATTTGTCTTTTGAATTAGTTAATATATTTATGTGGTTTAAAATATTGATTTATATTATTATTAAAAAATTATTTTAGATATTAATTCCTTTATTGATCGTGTTTTAAATTTTAATTTTATATATTTTAAAATATTTATTATTTTATATTAATACTTTATCATGATAAAAAAAAATCAATTGAGACCAAATTTGTCAAAACTAGGTCAAAGACATACTATATTATAATTTAGTATTCTTGTTATTTTATAGCATCTGAACTAGGTGAATAACTATATTTATTTTCATCACATCCTCTAACCAAGTTTAAATTTTATTTAGGATTAAGGATTTGTTATTCAGACTATTATTTTTAAAATAATAATTCATTATATTATAAAAAATACTAACACAAATATATATATATATATATATATATATATATATATATATATATATTTTGTTGCACTTTCAATAATTGAGAAAAAATAAACAAAATTATAAATAAAACAATTAAAAAACAATCCATACAAAAAATAAAAATACAAAATAACATTGATGTTAAAACATTGAATTATTAATTAGTATACACCATTCATATCTCTAAAAAATATAAATAATTTAATAATGTATAACTTTATTTGAGTTTTATGAAGTAAAGAAAAATAAAACTTTAAAAAACTTATTAAGAACAGTGTGAATTTGAATTTATCTATCCTTTATATATATATATATATATATATATATATATATATATATTAAATTTGAATTTTATAAATTTTAAAAAATATGTCTAGAAAACTTGATTAGGAGTAGTACATTGTAAATTAATATAAAAAAAGCATTTTTTATTTATCTATAAATTATTATTTAATAACTTTTTTATTTTTGTAATAGTTATCTTAAAATTATACTAAGAAAATTTTATAACTACAAAATAGAACAATTTGTATATATCCATTAAATTTTTATTTATCTTGATCTCAAATTGTTTTAATTTTTGTAAGTTTGTTTTTTAGTTTTTTGTGTTGTATTATTAATATGGAAAATGATACTTTGACAACCTAAATCCATACAACTTCTAAAAATAACTCTCTTTTAATATTATAATAATAGTTTTGCTTTATTTTTATTTTTATTTAATTATTTTATAGATTATTATATTAATAAAAGTGAGTTGTTTAAAGGGTTGTATAGTTTACGGTTGTCAAAATATCACCACTCAATTAATATTTATGTTGAATGAATAATATTGTTTTTATTATTTCTAACTCATTGTTAATTATCTTTTATAAAAAGATGTTTTTTCTTAAATAAAGATGTTTTTTCTTATTTTTTACCTTTTTATTACAACATATATCAATGATTATAGATAATAATTAGTTTCTAATAATTTTACAATACACTATTTACTTTATTACTATATTTAGTTTATTATATGATTATCAATATTGATGAATATTAGTTTTACATTATTTTCATCCATTCCCTTAATTAACAAAAATGAGAGGATGATATTATTTAAAATATAACATTTTAATTTAATTGGAAATAAATAAAAATGGCTTATTTGTAAAAGAAAATTTAAAAAATAAAAAATTATAAATACTCCAAAATATATGTTATCAGTAACATAAAAGTTAAAAATACTGCAGAACACCATATTAACATGATTTTTTTTTAAATTATATATATATATATATATATATATTTATAAATAACTTGAATAAATAATTATCAATAAGCTAGTTTAATAATTTTAAATAATTTATCTCTTCAAATTTGGGCTAAATTTATTATTATTTAAAAATATAACTTAAATAAATACTTTGAATATATAATGTAATATATCTATTTATATGATTTAAACAATGATAATAATATATCATTTTAATATTAGACTGATTCACGCAATTGTAAAGATAATATTCTGTAGACTAAGGACACTGGATAATAAGAACCGTTGATAAGAATTACCTTTCAATCATACCGTGAATTGTACTTGGGCTTAAATTGCACACCTGCATCTGCATCTTTCTTTCCTTCAACCCTAACCCGTTGCATTCAAGAAGGCAACTGCCTCTGTTTTTGCCTCTTGCTTTTGCCCAATTTTTATTCCATAGCATACACACAACATCAACATGCCAAATCACCATTAGCAACAAACCCTCATAGATTCTCACTCATATAACCTAAGGTTAGTTTTGCTCTGCACTCTTTTTGGAATATCATAATCTTATTGTTTCCTAGGGTTCTTAGAGTGTTTTTTTTTTTTTTAATCTTATCTATTTACTTTTTCTTAACGAATTTATAATGATGGATTAAGCCATCAGAATCTGATGGTGTTAATTTAGAATTCAATTAGTTAGGTCTTTATTTCTGTAGGGTTTGAATGTTGCGTGCTATTGATTTCAGAGATATATATATAGGAATTTGTTATGGCAACAGCTGAGGCAGCTTCTGCGGGGCTTGGCCCCAGATATGCACCTGATGACCCTACTCTTCCACAACCATGGAAGGGGTTGATTGATGGCAGCACTGGTCTGTTATATTATTGGAATCCTGAAACAAATGTTACCCAATATGAAAAACCTGTCCCCTTAACGTCACCAGCGCCTGTGCCTGTGGCCTCTACGCCGAGCTTGGCACCTATACCTGTGGCTCACACATTGCAGGCTAGTGGAATGGTGCCGCAGCACGGGCAGCAGTTAATGCAAGTGCAATCCTCCCAACAGCAGGTGGGTCAGCTTGCCCAACAGCATGGCCAATCACAGCAACAGAGTCCCCATATGGTGCAGGTCACTCAGCAGAAACAATCTCAGGGTGCTCCGCCTGCACAGCAGCAGAACTCAGTGATGACACAATCAGTGTCCCAGCATGGGTTACATCAAGCAAGGCTACAACCCCAGGGGCAGCAAATGATGCAGCAGCCCCAGGGGCAGCAAATTCATCATCAGATACCGCAACATGCAATCCATCCCCAGCATTTTGGGCAAGGAATGCCTCAGGATCATGGCTCACATAATATACCCCCACAAGTACATCAGTTCACTACCCAAAACATGCATTATATGTCATATCAACAAAACATTCCCAGGCAACCAAACTCTCACCACGTTCAATCAAACACGGTCTCACCCGGGCAACCTAACCCCCAGCAAGTTCAGCATAACATGCATGGTCAACCCTTTGAAAATCAACAAACAGCATTTCCGAAGGTAGAGGAAACGGAGTTTAAAAATGGAAGCCTGGTTGGACTTTCGCCATCCCAGTATCCACAGAGGAGTGCCTTGCCTGTTCAGAATAATCAGAACATTCCAGCTGAAGCAGGTTCTGGTCAAATGCCTAATATAGGTGTCAATGCTGGTCAACCACAGCAATTCAGGACTGCCTTGTCAGGCAGTGTGCATCAGTCACCCTCTGCAATGCCATTGCAGCAGGGTGGATCTGATGTATATTACCAACATGGTCCTAACTTTCATAACCAGATGAGCCCGGGGATGATGCATGGTCATCCATCCAATGTCCATCCTGCTGGCCAAAAAATGAGTCACGATGATAATTTACGAGGTAGAGCAGGAAATGAATATTACTATAATTCTAACAAAGATATGTCAACAATGGGTCGTCGGCAACCAGATATGTCTCAAATACCTGTTCCTAGGAATCAGCAGGTACTTTTTCCCCTAGTACAAATTTTAAACCTGCTTCACTTTTCAATCTTTATAACTAACTATTATTGTACTATTTGTGTTGGTATTTGATTTCTAGTATAAAGCTATTTCAATGCGAATAACATGCCATTGACCTATTAAAACACTGATGTAATATGTGAAAACCTCCACCGAAATGGCTGCATTTATTGGTGTACTTGGCTGAAATTCATTTTCTCACAGAATATAAAAACAATAACAGATTACGCCTATGTTAAATGACTTTTATATTCTCTAATGTAATGGTGGCTGGATAAGTTGATGGGTGTATGTGTCACATTTCAAATAGATATCTCTTTCATTTTCATCTCATGTTCCAGCACTAAATTTAGACGTGGTCTGTCACTTTTCCCCCTCTCTTACTATTTTTGGCTTGCAGTCAATCAATAAAAAATGGTAGAATTCTTATTTTTCACTCCAACCAGCTTCCGTCCTTCCATTCTCTCTTAAATAATATTTTGCATCAACCCAAACTACACACCTTGGTGCATCTTTCTGGATCAGTCAAGATATTCGTCATTGATTCCTTGAAAAGATCCAACAATCCAAGCATCTCCAACTTGCTAGCCTTGATACTAAAGGGAAATAATCAGCATACCTAAAAATAACATCCAGTTCTTGAGACATTTAGTAGCCAGTTAACTTAAGGTTTTGCATGATAAACTTCTTGATAATATGCCATATTACTGCAAAATAGTTAAATATTTGCTGTTCTTTTCTAATGTTGATACAGTTTTTTTTTTTTCTCTTTTTCTTGCATTGTGCCTCATGGTTTTAAATCTTGTAGTGTTTTGAAGGTGTCTTTCATCTTTGGCTACTTCAACCCTTCTTTGTGTTGATAATGTATTTGTCAAAGCTTAGCTTGTCTTTGTCTTTTTAATCCTTTAATTTTAAGTTGATTAGTCATCTTACTCCTCAATACTAGTTCTTTATTGTAATTAAACATTTTCAAATATGATTCTGTAAAACATCATTGCAGGATATGCGGGTTGGCAATGCTCCTTTCCAAAATGTAATGCCAAGTGGAAATGGAGGTGGTATTGCTGGGAATTCTATGCCTAGCATGTTTATTCCTCCAATGGGAGGACCTTCACCTCTTTCTACGAACACTTTAATGAGGCCTCCATATATGGGATCTTCTGATGCTAGTGATCTCTCACCAGCTGAAATTTACTGTCAGCAACATGAAATTACAGCAACGGTTGGTACTTTTATTGGAACACTTGTATATGAAATTTTTTAGTTTAATATCTCAGGGGAGATCATGATAGATAAACGCCATGGTTGTGGTTCTATTTTTTTTTTACTTATGTGTAGAATGACTGGATTTATTTTAAATTTATATTTCTTGCACATATATATTTTTTATATCAATATTTATATCTCATTTGGACAGGGTGGTGACATTCCGCCTCCTTTCATGACATTTGATGCTACCGGGTTCCCTCCAGAGATATTGAGAGAGGTAAGTTTATTGTTCTCCTGCTATATGGTGTTGTATGCTTGGTGCTTCCTAGGAAAGAAATGGTTTTAGTCCTTTTTCCCCATTGTTTTAACTTAAAATTTACTTTTAAACTTGTCTATTTTCGCTTGTCGCAGGTGCGATATCTGCTCCAGAGCAGGAGCATATGTCGTACGCTGCACTGCTAATCTGCTATTGGCACAATTACACGTGCAACTACTATCCTGATTTTTGGAGCCTGCATAATGGATGGTTGGAGCCTTTCTTGGGCATCTTCTATAAGGGTGGATGGCCCTCCATTCTTCAAATTTCTATATGACCTGGGATTTGTTGCTTATTGGCTCCGCCTCTTATGTCTTTTTTGCCTTTTTTAATTGCCTCAAGTTGCTTCAGTAAGCAACCATAACCTATGGGTCCTTTTGTTTTTTGTTTGCTAAATTATCAGGGTTGAATGCAATTTTGTGTTTTTTATAAATCAAAAGACATTGGATTCATGCACCATTCATAGGTCTGATATATTCTCATTTCAGATATATTCTGCTGGCTTCTCAAATCCAACACCAATACAGGCTCAAACATGGCCTGTTGCACTGCAAGGTAGAGACATAGTAGCAATTGCCAAAACCGGCTCAGGGAAAACATTGGGTTACTTAATCCCTGCATTCATTCTTCTTAGTCAGCGACATAATAATTCTCTGAATGGCCCTACTGTCTTGGTTTTGGCTCCAACACGTGAACTTGCAACACAGATCCATAATGAGGTCATCAAGTTTGGTCGATCATCACGAGTCTCTTGCACGGTTTGTCCTGGTGTTTGAATCTCTTCTTTTTGTTGAGTTAGCCTAATAATATTTGCCTTTATCTATTGGTACATTTGTTTTCCTTTCCATATGCAGTGCTTGTATGGTGGAGCACCTAAAGCCCTTCAACTCAAAGAGTTAGATCGGGGTGCAGACATTGTTGTTGCCACACCTGGGCGGCTCAATGATATACTTGACATGAAGAAAATTGAATTTGGGCAAGTTTCACTGCTTGTGCTTGATGAGGCTGACAGAATGCTTGACATGGGTTTTGAGCCTCAAATCCGGAAGATTGTGGATGAGATTCCAGCTCGCAGACAAACTCTCATGTACACTGCAACCTGGCCAAAAGAAGTAAGAAAAATTGCTGGTGAACTTCTTGTTAATCCTGTCCAGGTGAACATTGGAAGTGCAGATGAGCTTGCTGCAAATAAAGCTATCACACAGGTATTTATTTAGTGGTGATTTATATACATTTCAAAAAATAAGGTAACGGTAGCTTTATTTTTATAGTGTCTATATGCTCAGTTACAAATTTAGTCAATTTGTGTTCATTTTTTTGGTGATGGTTAGAAATATTAGCTTCTTTCTTTTTTTTTTCTTTGTGTATTATATTCTATATCCAAGTTTCTATTTCAAGAATTGAGTAAGATGTGTTAAACATCTAACTTAAACAAAATTATTTTCCTTGTATGAATCTTTGCTTCTTTATATTATTTATACTTTTTGTATTATTATATTCTATATCTAAATATCAGATTGTGGAAGGGAATTGGGGCACAAGCAAACTTCACCTGTAATATGAGAATGCAATCAAAATACTTTGTGAAGAAGTTAGGATTCTTGATGAGACTTTTGAAATCTTGGTTAATGCAGAATTTTTTTAACTGATGCCATTTAGTTTTACAATTCGACACTTGATCTAAAAGCATCTTCTCTGTGGTTGTTGCATCATGTTGACCTTCATATGGCTATGCGTATCTTCCTTAACATAGTAATGTACCGGGGGCTTCATTGTACTCTAAACTGTTGTGCATTTCTTTCATGTTTATTTTCTA